ACCTCTTAATCAAAGTATGAGGCTGGATGTTCATTCGGATATTCAGTATTTCATGTTCATTTGTTTATTCTTTTTCTCTATGATCTTTTCTGACATGATTGCACATTATACAATCTTCTTATTTGTCTGATATATATATATATATATATTGCATTTTATGTTTTCTCTTTCTTTCGACATTTTTGTTATTTTTGTTGAAAAATCTCTTTATTCATATCTTCATATTTTTCATTTTAACTGCCTTAGGGGTTATTTTTCAAATGGTTTGTTTTGATCAATCTTGATTGAGTAGGTGATCTTTCTTTTCATATAACATCTCATTCTTTATTCATCATTGTATTTTGTTTCCATCATGTCCATGTCTATTAAACCTGAACTCTACCTAAAATATCTGTTTATATATAGCTTGTGCTTAGAAGAGAAGTCACAAATTGTGCACCTTCTCTGGGAACAGTCACCTGTGCAATGACAGAACGAATACGCATGTCATTCCTCCAAGTAAACTTTGCATAAAACTATTCAAACAGAAGTATATTAAGTGACAAATTAACATCATACGAAAAGCAATGCACAAATGTCACATATGTATGCCTAATCACGAAATTGAATGCAAGAAGACATACCATCGACTGTCCGGCGCGAATTTGAATGCTCTTTGCACGCTTTTCTAAATTGTATGCTCGTTTTGCACGTCTCCGTGGCAAGAGTATGAAATCGCATGCTACTAAATCAAATTGAATGACGAAATTAGCTTTTTGATTGTTGATCTACATAGTCATTCAATTTCGCACGAACTTGAATGAACGTAACGTTAATTCGGATGCTAAGTTCACGAAGTTGGGCGGGAAAACCTATATTATATTAAATTAAATTAAGATCAAATGATACCGGAAAGTAAATGCAACCATCATTTTCATGATTTTTGCTGATAACCTTCTTAGAACATATAATGAAGGAGACAAATCGTGGCAGGTCATTGCAGTCGAGTAACAAAGGCCTGAACAGCCTTATAACCTGCTAAACTGTTTGTTCTGGGTCGTATCCGGATACCTACCCCCTGGACATCCACACCCGGATAACCGGCCCCAGTCAACTACCCTCTATAGGACAACTATCCCCTAGAACAACTACCCCTTAGGGCAACCACCCTCTAGGACGACTACCCCCTGGGACAACTTATCCCGGACAACTACCCATAGGACAACTACCCCCTAGGAAAGTTGTTCGGGGGTAGTTGTCCTAGAGGATGGTTGTCGTAGGGGGTAGTTGTCCTAGGGGTTAGTTTCCTGGGGTACTTGTCGGGGGGTAGTTGTCCTGGGGGTAGTTCTCCTAGGGAGTAGTTGCCGTAGGGGTTAGTTGTCCGGGGGTAGTTGTCCTGGGGTGTAGTCGTCATAGAAGGTGGTTGCCCTATAGGTGGTAGTTGACTGGGGGTGGTAATCCGGGGGTGGATGTCCAGGGGGTAGGTGTCCTAGAACCGTTCTGGGCACATGGAGTATGATGCAGTCTGAACTTGAACGAAGGCCGGGTTTTGCAGAATCGTAGGGAGACATGTTCATATGATAGCCAAGATCTGATTGGCCGCCAGTGAAATTGTTTCAGCAAAGAAGTGACAGGGTCGTGCTTACGGGCCATGAAAAGTTTATTAAACAGACGAATTATTTCTCTCAATTTCAGTTTGCGACAGGCCTACCAATCTTGACCCAAACATCAGAATTGATCCTGACACGGAAACATACGCAGTATATTATCCCTTTACTACTTCCTGCATTACTGGTTACGATAAGACAGGACCCGACGCGTACTATTGCTATGACGGAGACCCTGATTACTGGTATCCTATTGATACTAGTCCTCCGTTTCTGTCTTGTTCAGGTAAGCAAACAAAAGAGTATATAAATAATTCATTTTTGTGAGTACTTTAGTGAATATGTACTGCACGCAGGTCAAGTCACAGTCAGATATTGAACAAGACTTGTCGAAGTTCAATATAAAACTACGTGTTGAGAAAACCAAATGACTGGCCACATGTCTGATTTTATAATATTATTTGGCCTTTTGTATCCCAAGGACAAAGCCCGTTATAAATTAAGCTATGTATTGATGACTATAATAAGGATAAAAACAGCTGCAAAAACAAAAAGAGCAGCAATAATAATACAAATTCTTATAAAGATGATGAAGATGATACCATTACTACAACTACTAATGATGGTGATAATTATAATGTTGATAATAATAACAATAATACTACTTATACTATTAATAATGATAAAATTATTATAATTATTATTGTATTTGTTTTTAGTATTAATTTTATTATTATTATCATAATGTTTATTATTCATACAATTATTATCTTTTAGCGCAAGGAGTACCGTGCCCTAAACCAAATTTTACTGACTCTGCGGTGGTGATCACACCAGAAAAGGGCTCTTACGATACGGGTGAGCAGGTCACCGCCTCCTGCTCAAGCGGGACATTATCAGGAGATGATGTTGGGTCATGCTTGTCAGATGGAACATGGGATTTTACAACTCAGCCATCATGCCTATTAAGTATGTATGAAAATGGATAGAGTTTCTATCAAAATTAAAGATGCTCAAAAGAGAAAATCAATTTTCTCATATAGGCCCACATATATTCATGCATACATGTAATTGCACGTGTGAGTGTGCGTGTGCGTGTGTTGAGGTTGGTGCGTGGATGTGCGTGTTTTGGGAGGCAAGCCCAAAGACAGTTGCCAAGGTATTTGGTCATGTTATGTCTAATATATAACAAAGTATCGTGGAATTGTGAACATAAATTGACATGAAATGCAATGTTATCTTGATATTTGGTCCGCCCTCCAGCCCGAATATCAATTTTCTTGTTTCTCAGAAGATCAAAGAAATTATCTACCCACTTTTTTAAAGCGAAAATATTAGAAAATTCATGACAATTTCAAAAAGACCCCCTCCCAGTCAAAATTATGAGGTGACGACAGTCCCCCAGAAAATTAGAAAACTAGACATTGTGGTAACTTTTATTTACCTCTTCTAAAATCATTTTTCGCTATTATATACATTCATAGTAGAGGCCCCAACAATTTGGAACTTTCTTCGTAATTATATCAAACTTTTCCCATCACTTAATTCATTTAAGAGAAAATCAAAACCGTTTCTTTTACAAAAAAATTAAAAAATTATGTCTTCACGTAGTCAATTCGTGTTTTACTCTCCCCGTTTCTAATATCCATTTGTTTTCTCCCGTTGCGTTCTCATGCTTTTCATTGTCTCTGCATCATTCACATCGTGCGCTCTCTCCCTTTCCCTCTTCTTCTCTGTTTTCATGTTCAGCCCTATTTATACTATTTATACTTTTGTACTGTCCTGTTCCTTTCTTTTGTGTGTATGCGTTTGCGTCTTATAATGTCATTATTCTTCGTAAGTCTCTGGGTCTCTTGTTTACCCTGATGTAGGAGCAGTATGTTATGAATTTCGAAATTATGATTTTATAATTCTGTTATCATACCGCACTTACATATCAATCTTTTTTCCCTTTCTTCTTTTTCTTTCAAATCTACATGACTTTTTTTGTATTTGTTATATAAGTTCATGAAGGATAAAAAGGCATGTTATCTGCAGATGACTTGTAGGAGAACTTGAATGATCAGTTATTTCATGAGGATACCAATTAATTTGTATCTTACCTGTTTATATGCTTGTGTGTATTTATCTATTTTGTTTTTGCTGCTATTATTCGTTTATTCTTACCAAACAGGGCCTCATGGAAGACTACCAAAATGGTGATATGTGCCACCCTATTAATATTATAAATAAATAAATAATCGTTATTTTAGGGATCCACATTCTACAAGCCCTGCTTTTCAGTTGATTCCTACATTTCCACAGTTTTTCCAGTATTTCCACAATATTCCAGTATGAATTCCAAGTGGAGGTATCGTAAGGATGATAGCTGCCTATATGATTTAGATAGATGGGTCCCTTGGTGGGTGAATATATTCGCATTTAATTTGTTTCTAGCCTTCAATTGGCCTAGAGCTTGAAGAATTTTCAGCGATTAAACAAATTAAAGAGTCATGAATTTGTGAAGGTGCAATTATCAATCAAACAAAACTCTGCAACTCTATGACGTATCTTGCGACATCCCCTCCCATTTGCCCTGTACTAAAACACTTCAAAAATCTGTATTCTTCCTCAAGAACATTTTCAATCATGCATTCCCCCTAAATACAATTATTGCAAATATGTTTTTAAGCAACCCCTGATGAAACAAATCTATTCTGTCATAAATAACTAAGAAATGGAATTTTATGAAATTATCTGTAGAGAGCAACTTGGAAAGGAACTCGCACGATAGATCACAATGATGTCGAATAATGTTTCACTGATGAAAATATAAAAAATCCATAACTTTCCTATTTCTAATTAGATTTTGCTCAAACTTTCACTGAATTGTTTGTCTATTTGTTCTGCTTTTATTAAAAACAACTTATTATTAGGGTTGACTTCCTCCTTAAAGGCTAAGTCCACTCCAAAGATAATTTGCGTTCAATAGATGTAGAAAAACTAGAGAAACAGAGCCCAAAAAGAGGAAGTTAGGATTGTTTTAAAGACAGTGTGAAAAACTATGGAACTTAGAAAATCACTATACAACTTGCCAATTTGGTTATCAAGTTGTGACGTCATTGCTTCACTATTTATTAACTGCTTTATATATGTTTATCCCATTAATTTTCCTTTTTATCCCCCAAAACTTGATTGTCCCATGCCTTTGCCCAGGTTATGATTTGCTTCTATCGAAAGTAAGTTATTTTTTGGAGTGGACTTGCCCTTTAACGAACAGAGGGTAATGTTCTGGGGTAGGGGGATGGGGTGGGTAACTGTTTTCGGGGTGGTTGTCCTAGGTTGTGTTCGGGGGATGCTTGTCCACGAGGGTAATTGTCCCTAGAACCCAATTGAATAATAATGTCAATTTTTTTCTTCACATGATGAATATGCATGATTTCAGCTTGTGCAAGGCCTACCAATCCGGACCCCAACCTTGTGATAGACCCTGACAAGACTTCTTACGGAGATTGGGCACACATTGCCATCTCCTGCTCACCTGGTTACGAGATGACTGGACCGGGTTCGAGCTACTGTTACCCGGATGGTACCTGGGATCCTAATCCAGATATTGCGATGTGCACAGGTTAGGACGATATTCGGATGGTCTTGGGCAGGCGCGAACCAGGGGTGTGCCGAGCGGGCCTTGCCTGGCCAAAAAAGGCGGGCAAAAAAAAAAAGGTTTAAAAAAAAATGTGACCAGAAATTTACCTCTTTTTTTTGCTAAGGGGCGGGGGGCTCACTAAGTGCTCACTATGGCACCCCCTCCCCCACTGAGCGAAATATCGGCCGGCGCGATTTTCAAATATCCGGGGGCAAAAAAGAAAAAGAAAATAGTGCTCACTACCCCCCCCCCCCCCCCCTCATGTCTGAGTCTTCAAGTAGGGGTAGGAACCCGACTAGACAGAAATAACCGTCTGATATTGGAACATTCTTTAAAAAATGGACAGTTATTGCTTTAATTTTTTCAGTGGAGCAGGACGTAGCCGAGTCTCGACAGAACAACCATCGTGTCGAACGTTCGTTCTGAATATTTCTTAATGCGAATTAAGATGGGAATTGGTTCCAGGGAGAGTGTGGGTTTCATAAAACCTCCTTTCATACATTTCCTTTTATCTTCTTCCTTTTCATCCGATTCTCATTTGTCATTTATTTTTCTCACTCGCATCGCGAGAAGCAGGCGAGATGGTGAATTGCCGTTTGGTCTAGACCCAGTTCGTCTATTCCTATATGGTCTACACTCAGCCCTTCTACTCTTCACATGGTATAATATTAATTTGGTCTACTTATCATTTGGTCTAATGACCATTTAGGCTAATAGTCATTTGGTCTATTCTCCAATTAGTCTACAACCCATTTGGTCTATTGTTCATCAAGTCTAATAATCAGTTAGTCTAATTCCCAATTCGTATAATGCCATGTACTCTTGTATTAATTCTGTTTATCCTGCTCTCGTATCTTTCTGCCTCTGCCCATATGTATATATCTCTCTCTCTCTTTTATATATATATATATATATATATATATATATATATATACATATAAACATGTATGTAGAGCTGTGTGTGGACCAAACGGGAATGGACCAATTGAATAGTACTGGTTTTTAAACAAAACGGCAATAAACCGGCGAGTCATTGCATGTCACCTTCCTAATGCGTTGTTTTTCATTTTATATGCTCTTTAATAAGAACTGTGCTCGAAACCAAATTTTACGGACCCTGTGGTAGTGATCTTTTATTATTATTATCATCATAATTATCATTTATGTGTTTTTCAAATAATTGTTATCATTTAGCGCAAGGAGTGCCGTGCCCTAAACCAACTTTTACGGACCCAGCGGTGGTAATCACACCAGAACAGGACTCCTACGATACGCATGAGACAGTCACTGCCTCCTGCTCAAGCGGGACATTATTAGGAGATGATGTCGGGGTATGCTTATCAGATGGAACATGGGAATTCACATCGGACCCATCATGCCTAAGTACGTATGAGAAGGGTTTCCTTTCTATCGAAATCAAAAATACTATATTTAGAGAGAAAAATCGATTTTCTCGTATAGGCCTATCCATCTATCTATCTAGTATCTTCTCCCGATTCGGAGGTTGATTGCAACATCTCTCCATTTCATCTTCTGCCATTCTGGTGCACTCCTGCAGTATTAGTCCACTCCAGTTTTTGACATTCTCTCCCCAGTTGATTCTGGGTCTTCCTCTAGGTCTACTTCCTTCCACTCTTCCTTCCAATACATCCTTTAAGAGGCTTTGGTGCCTTTTAACATGACCAAAGTATTTGATTTTTCTCTCCTTAAAGGGATAGTTGAGTTCTGTTTTCAGACCGCAAATGCGTCCAAAGTGCATGGTTATTGCTCTTATTCTTATCTATGACATTTATAGTGCCCTTTTAGACCCTAAAATTGCTATGAAGGTAATTTTAGACCCCCAAATGTGTGAAATTTAGCCAATACGATCGCACCAATTCAGCTCTACTTTCAAAAAAACACGGTGACCGTTAATTAATTATTTAATTAAAAATAACAATACATGAGCCGGCTTATTGTGGGTAATATAAGCAACACGAAAATTCCAACAAAAAAGCCAACATCGGCATTGGCTGAAATACGACGTAAAAGGTGTTATTTCGTTTTTTTCAACGGTTTTTTTCAAATTTGTCAAAATATCTAATATTTGTGGTGGTACACAAGTATTATAAATCGTTATATTTCAGCCGTCTCTGAACCGACTTTGATCAAACAAAGATGATTTTGATATTTCAATATTATGTTCTTTCAAATTTGACACTCATTTTTTAACTAATCCTACTAGTGCAATTTGTTTACGCCCTGCCATGTGCATTATATCTTTGTTGGTTTTCATTCGTTTCAAGGATATTTCATCATTCTTCTGTAGATCCACATTTCAAAAGATGTTATTCTATTTTCCATGGCCTTGTTTAGTGTCCATGTTTCTGCTCCATATAATAGGACAGACCATACATAACAGTTTACTAGTCTCAACCTAAGCGCAAATTTCACCTTTCTATTTGTGAATAATCCTTTCATTGCCAGAAATGTATTCCGAGCAATTTCTATTCTTCTTTTTATTTCTGCTTCGCATCTGGCATCATCTGTGATATTTTGTCCGTAGATGTAATTACTGGCTTGCTCAATGATATGTCCATCGAGTTTCAAACATAATCTAGGCTTAATCTCTGTTCTACAAAAAAATCATTGACTTAGTTTTCTTGAAATTCATGCTTAGACCAAACTCTTCACTTTTGACTTTTACAATATCCAATATATGTTGTGAATCTGCTTCATTCTCTGCGCAAAGTACAGTGTCATCAGCATAACGTACATTATTATTATTTACACCCCCAATACTAACACCGTTCATATCTGAAATTTGCCTGAATACCAACTCTGTGCACAAGTTGCACAACAGAGATGGGGACATTACGCATTCCTGATGTACTCCTCTTTTGATTTTTGTGTAACCTGTGATTTCATTGTTAATTTTGATGGCCTACTAATACATATACGTGTGCGTGCGCGTGTGAGTGTTTGTTTGCGTGTGTGGGGATGGGTGTATGGATGTGTGTGGGTGGGAGTGTTTTGGGAGTTGGCAAATCCAAGGACAGTTGTGGAGATCAAACAGGACAAAATTGCTTTGAAAATGGTTTTTTAACATTATTAATGGCAGCAAGACGCAAGCCACAATGATCCCCATTATACTAAATAAATTCATTAAAACCCGACATGGTGTAATATTAGCTTTAATAAAGGAATTTACTTCGAACTCAGACTAACTTTTTTGTTAAACCATATTTGAACAAAAATGGACCCCATCGTCGCTTTTAAATTGTAATAGACTGAGTTTGCTGAAGTTTGAAATCATCGATATGCTCGTGATTGAAGTCCAGCTGATTTAAGACAGACAGCCCGTTTACAAATTTGTATTGCATTATGTTTGCCAATTTGATTTTGCTGTGTGATTTTCTTTCTGTAGACCATCTTATTATTTCTCTTTACCTCTGTCAAACTTGAAGGTGATTGTCATGCTCCACCGAACAGCAATGTCACTGGTTCTTACGCACACGCCTCTGTGGTGGCATTCTCTTGCTCTCAAGGGTTCAGCCTGAGTATCGGTTTGGACTCTGTAGCTTCAACTTGTGTCGATGGGGCATGGAGTCCACCAATCGCTTGTGAATCAACTGGTGAGGCCATTATCAATCTAGAAGCAATGTATGAGCATCACTGAGTAGGACGCGGACCCTGCTGGAAAGAACACACTCATTCGCACTCATTCACAGTGTGAATCACACTGTGTTTCACACTATGAATCACAGTGTGCTCGACAATGTTAAATTTGGGCGTTTTCACATTGTGGTCGATTCGTTTCACACAGTGGATAATCGGAAAAGGAAAGAACACACTCATTCACACTCATTTACAGTGTGAATCACACTGTGAATCACAGTGTGCTCCACAGTGTTAAATTGGGGCGTTTTCACATTGTGGTCGAATCGTTTCACACTGTGGTTCACAGTGTGGATAGCCGGAAAAGGAAAGAACACACTCATTCACAGTGTGAATCACACTGTGTTTCACACTGTGTTCACAGTGTGAACTGTGATTTCACACTGTGATTCACACTGTGATTCACACTGTGATTAACACTGTGAATGAGTGTGAATGAGTGTGTTCTTTGCAGCAGGGGAAGGGCGGTAAAGGGTCTGGTGTGGATTTCCATACACTATTGGTGGTTTGACTGTCCGGTGGAAGAGGAAAGGGGGGGGGGGTTAGGAGGGCTGACATCTCTCGCCCGAATATTAAACTCTCTTTTTTTTCTTAGAAGGTCTAAAAAATAATATACATGTATACACTTGTTTTACTTTAAAAAATAAGAAAAGCCATGACAATTCCAATAGACCACCTCCCAGCAGTAATAATGGGGTAACAGCAGTCTGCGGAAGGGGCAGGGGGGTTAAGGGAGGGGGTTCCCCCTCCTTCTACGTTTTTTCATGTTCGCACATTCCGATTAGCGACGCACAAGTCTGTTTCCAGTTGCCGTTTCTTGATATTTGAAAACTGTGCGATCATGTTGTAAATGTTAAAGTATAGAAAATGCACCATATACTTCTGTGAAAGTACTCACTGTCACCTATTTCATTTCAGGCTGCTCCCCACCCTCTGTTCCACCAAAGGCGACTATCGAGGATCCTCAAAGTTACCCGTATAAATATAATTCAAGAGTGATCATGAAGTGTATTGGTGACAGGACCTTGTCTGGTCCAGCGTTCTCATATTGCAACAAAACCGGCCAATGGGACCCAGACCCTATGACAATCAAGTGCCTCGGTAAGGATTGTTCATGGTTTCGTAAATATCACTGTATTCAGCCATCAAATTCACATGGTTTAAATCAATCTGAGTTCACTGTTGCTATGTTGGACAATCACATCATATGCGGATCAGTGCAACTTTAAGAGGTGAACAAACTTCTAACACTATGTAATTAGGTCTATTTCGATTTCACATTAGTGACAGTGAAAGCCAACACTTCCCAGAAGACCGAAGATACACATAAAACAAGTTTCACGAGACTAAATTAAAGCTCTCGGAAACCTTTAAATTCCTTCCTAATTTCAGTCACGGGTCTAGTATAGCGAATCTTCATCCATCTGTGTTTCGTTAAGGCCGGCTCACCTAGTAGCGGCAAACGACGGAATCACAACGATTTTTTTTTTTTGCCGCCACAAAAATTTCGACGTGCTGAAAATTTGCCGACAAACGCGAATGATAATTTCGGCCGTCTGCGGTCGCTAGCGGATTCGTCAGCGACAATTGAAGGCAACCCACGATGATTGGCGGGAAATTCAATATTGCAACTCGCAGCTTAACGTAGCTTGCGCTACCCCCTATTCGTCAGAGTGGGGGCTGGCCTTTAAAGAGTGCATCACCGGCCTAAACAAAAAACAAATAATGTACAACTGGATTATAAAATAAACCTAAAACGTACTTGGCATTATGGATGATAGGTTTAGGGGCATGAGGGGAGTGAAGGACAATAAGAAATTCCTCACATGGAACCCAACCATGCTTACTCTATTCCATACAAGCGTGTAAGGTCGCATCAACTATGCTCCTCATCAGTAGTAGTTATGTTTACTGAGTTTATTTAAAACTTTCAGTAGGATTATTCATTTTGTAGAAGTAATATAAGCAACTCATATTTTTATTATTATGACAGCTACATGTACATATGGAGGCCCTGACATAAAAAGCAGCACTATATGGGCTTGATAAGTATCCTTTAATTTCCACCTTTGTAGATCAGTGCGTGACACCGCCCTTCGATGACCCGAAGATCATTCACACGTCACAGCTATCGGGGAGCTCCGGCCAGTCCTTCTACGACCATTCAGACACCATCAGGTTCTCATGCGAGGGTGGCATCTTCGTGGATGGACCGTGGAAGGCTGCCTGTCACGACGGCACCTGGTTTCCGCACATTGGCGGTCACCGTCCAGTTTGTAAAAGTACGAATATACTTGAACAGTAACGTTGTGAACATAAAGAGGTCCACACAGTGTACACAGACACGGATCCAGAGGGCAAAGGGGGCACGCCCCCCCCCCCCCCCGACCCCCCACCCCGCTTATTCAGCGGCCGGCTGGGTCGTTACGAAATTTTCGGCCATTTTGTGCCACTCCGGTAAGAAATTCCGGGATCCGCCCCTGGTACATAATGTGTCCTCACTGTGACTATAATGTGTCCACATTGGGGCCATATTCCCCCCACTCTGTGAACGTAATCTGTAAACACTGTCACAATGTGAAAAAATGTTTATACACCGAACATTATGTGCCTATGCAATATAACCTGTCCACACTGTGAACATTACGTTTCAACACTGTGAACACAGTATTTCCACACTGTCATAAAAATGTGTTCACTCTGTGAAAATGATTGTCCACTGGTCTTCCCCGGTGGATTAAATGAGAATATTAAAGGCCATTACGATAATAGATGATTATTGGCAGGGTTATCAGAATATTAATTATTTCAACAAGCATGACGAGTACGTCCGTTCCCCATTTTGTTGTTAATTCCCCCTAAAGTTAAGGAGGCGGGCACCCGCCAAGTACCCCTTAGCTACACTACTGACGTACACTGTTTTTTTGTTGTTGTGATATCCATGTACAGACAACTGCACCGCACCAGAGAACATGTTGAACGCGGGGGCGGTGTTCCACCATTCCGATAGTCACGTGTTTGAGTGTGATGGAACCCCGGGAATGATGAGGATGGGCGGACCGAGGTCGGTCTGCAAGCACGGGGTCTGGACGCCAAGAATACGATGTGCATGTGAGTATTGCCGCATATTTGATTTGTTTACACATAAATGTAAGTCTAGAATTGAAGAAGAAAAAAAAATATTTTGAAGATTTATTGATTTCTTTCAACGGAAGCTCCAAGCAGACGTGGGGGGTGTTCCACAAAGACTAAGCTCAACTTTAAGCTGGACTTACCTATGGCAGGCTGTTCATGCCACTGTTTGCTCTCACCATTGTTGAAGAAAAAAGTCTTAAATATAAATTAAGTTTACAATGCAAGTAACTTTTTTTTCTTCAACAATGAACTATCAAAAAAATAAATTCGGTAGATTTGTGACGTCCCTTGAGAGACCAATGGTGAGAGCAACTAGTGGCATGAACGGCATGTTATAGTTAAGTCCAACTTAAAGTCGATCTTAGTCTTTGTAAAATACTCCCCTGGCTTCAAAGCTACCAGACCAAAAGTCTCTGCTAGCGCACAATGACAGTAGGTCTAGTTTTGTGATGCGTCTTTTTGGAGGTGAGGCACAATTATTCATGTCGACGAATTTATACACCTGATCCCTCTGCGCTTATGATATTGAAAAGATTTTAATTTTTTTGTTTAAACAACAAAACGCGTTATTTTATGAGGGCCTGAATTATATTTCAATGTATATCCTAATTTAACTATTAGGGTGTATGGAATTACAATTCCATATCCCGAAATCTATGGTTAAATCATTTAAAGTCCGTTAGATTGTAAAGACGGGATATCCTATAGTCCCACAAGACCCAAAGAGATTCCCAGGCCCAGGGGACTAAAGGTCCCTGAGACCGACCGAAATTCACGAATTATTCATCGTGTGTCAGTCGCATGTAAAACCTGACTATGTAACCTACATTTCAGCCAATTAGAACAGTTCGGTTTCGTGATCCTTCAGGTGAGTAGAGGATCCGCGGATCCGGGCTTTTTCTCAAATGGGTTCGGTCTTGCGGATAGTCGTTCAACTGCATAGGCTGCAAAATATAGACTGATGCCGAAAATAAAACTCGATGCTAAACCCACTTTAAATGCTCAAAATGAAACCATCTGCAACTGCTCTTTTTAAGGGCAGTGAGCCTAAAACAATGACTTGTCATTATTTGTTTTAGATCTGAATCAAACATTTTCTTGATCTTTTAAATCTCATGCAGTGAATAAAGATCTGAGGAGTAAGCCCTAAGTGATCTGGCAGACGAGAAACTATCCGAAGAATCCCGGATTGCTTGATATCTTTTTCTTCTACTTCTTCTTCTCCTTCTTCATCTTCTTCTTATTATTTTTTCTTTTCTTCTTCTTCTTCTTCTTCTACTTGTTCTTCTTGATCTTCTTCGTTATCCTGTACTATTTGTAACGAAAAATGTTGTTGTATATAGGCTACTATAGCTTTCACTTTATGCAGCTTACGTTTGAGTTTTGGCAAAATGTGGAGCGCGGTCGAACGTACTAAGAACGAAATGGGGATGAGTTGAACTATCTCTAAACGGGGAGGTTGGGTTAACAACTATCTTTTTAAGAACTTCATGGACGGGCTCCGACTGGCTTGGACGGGAAGGGTGCTCTAGAACTCTGAGCCTGTTAAAAAAATGTCCCCGTCCTGCAATTAGACGGAGTGCCCAACGTACTTTAACCGAGATGGACGTACTACGAACGGAATTGCCGTACTTTGATCCTACTAGAAACGTGTTACACCGTGATGTGGTCGAGCATCAATTAGGAAGAACGCGTTGTTTTGTTTAGTTCTCGAACCAGAACGGGATTGCACAGCACAATAGGAGCGCGGTCGAACGTACTAAGAACGAAATGGGGACGAGTTGAACTGTCTCTAAACGGGGAAGTTGGGTTATAAACCAACTTAAAACAATTTCCGAACTAGTATAAAATGGTTTGGATTTTAATTACCTTGTCATATTAAAGTTTCACTTTGCAATAATGAAATTAAAGTTAGTTTTTAAAATCGATGAATATCTACTTTAAAAAAAATACACTTTTTTAAACTGGTAACCAATGGATATTAAACAATTTAGGTAAAATTGGGTCTCTAGAGCGAGTGCCTGTTATGAGCCTTGCTGTTGTATTCTGGATTCTCTGAACACGATTCAATTGCTTTCGGGGTAAACGATAGAATAGAGTATTACACTTTACATGTTATCTATTATATCATTGGAAATGATTAACAGCCCAGTATTCCCCTCCTGAATTTTGACCCCCCCCCCCCCCCACGATAATAATCTGATCTCTGGCAAACTGTATCGTTATCTGTGTGTGAAGAATTTTTATGTGTATCCGGGGTTACCGTGTGTCACTTAGTGAGTCATTAAGGCTCGGTATATTTGTTCAAATCACAATTATGAACATTACAGCAAGTAAGATCAACAACAAAACAGATTCATACTGTATGTTGGTTCTAGATTATATGACGAAAGTAGACTGTTTGTTTTAGATTATACAACTATTGTCGACCAAAGTCTGCAACAGATTTACAGGAAATCTATTGTAGATTGTGTTTCGTTGGTTATACTGCTGGTTGGGCTTCTTTTTGTTTAACTTTATGCTTTATTTCGTGTGTTTCTTGAGCGAGGAGAAGCAGAAACATGGCGGCGATCAAGTCATCTATTTCAGTAGGTGTAGGATTGCTAATCATACTTTGCTCTGTGCAGTATTCGTTACAAGGTACGTGGTTTTATAAACATTATAATTGCTATTTTATTTTCTAGTTACCTTTTCACATTATTTTCGGGAAAACGTTTCGTCCTTTACAATAAAGGCTCATAAAACCCTTAAGAATTAAACTTATTGAACCGTAATTCAAATACCCTAATAATCAAATCATGTTCGGATAACGTAACGTCATCGTCAAGTTTGACACATTTCAACACGTGACGCACGCTGATATCTTGAAAGTCTTTGCGAGCGTGTTATAATTTTATTCAAAAAGATCAGACAATGTAAATCCAATGTCTCGCCCTGTGCCGCGCAATATTAGGGACTTTTTAATTGAGTGGAGGAGAACGGCGTGAACGTCCACTGATCATGCATGTCCATGGCAAGACATTAACATTTATTTATATTTCTTGATATCAAGAAATGATTTGTTGTTGTAAAGCAATGGTAATTCTTGATATCAAGAAATAGGAATAAATGTTAAAACGGCTTGCCATAGACACGCATGATCAGTGGACGTTCACGCCGTTCTCGTCCACTCAATCTAAAAGTCCCTATTAGCGGAGGAGGACCACTTTCCAGTTGCCACTCATTGTACAATGAGGTACATCTTGGTTTAAAAGAGAAAACAAATCATCATTATGTGAAATATTTTAGATGTATACTGTTAAAATAGTTGCTGTCATCTGAAATGATTTTGATATCGTATGAAAAATGTTGTATTATATACACGTTGATATTGGATTCAATGGAATTAAAATCAAATGACATAAAAATTTAATTTTTGTAATGGTTTTCATGATTTTTGTATAAAAAATAAAATTCGAAATCTCTATTTGCCCCAAACATATTTGTAATTTCCATTTACTTAAGGGTAATCTATCTTGCAGCCGTAAGGCTAAATAGGTACAAATTAAGTTAACAGATAAAAATTAAAACGTATACAAGAACACATAGCAAGAGCAACTTCATAAAAGATTAAAAAATCGATAAGCGATTCAAGGCTAATAATAATAATAATAATATTCAGTTTTTTTATAGCGCTTATTAGAATTACCAGAATCACAATATGATAGTAATTAATCTAATTAGGAAGTAAATGATATCGAAAATCAGAGTAAGAGCATGCTTTCTGTGACAAATATATCTAGGTCTTTCATGAGGATTTGGAACTAAATCAGTCTCATTCAATTCTATCGGAAATGGTATCAATGTGTTGACATTCTTATTTTCTCGTACATCACCAAACTCATAGTGATATGAGGTTTCATTAGAAATTATGAATACTATTTTTCGTCTAAGCGCAGTCTCCGATTTAGGAGTGACCTTAACAACCTCTGAAATATTGTGTATTGTTATACAATCTTGTCGAGTGACATCAAGGTGATCTCAGTGCAGTTAAAACACTCAATTATAAATTTAGATCTCAGATTTGAAATTTATGTGCTATTAGGGCCGCCCCGAGAGCACGGGGACTCCTTTTGTTAGTTTACTCTTAGTCCTGGCCGGCAGAAGGGGAGGGGGGGGGGCACCTTTTTGGGGCCACCTTTTTCGCAGTACAACTTTCTAAGAAAAGGCCAGTCTCATTGAGGACAAAAATTGTGTAATAACAAAGTCAATAAAAACAAAGTCATTTAGTTAGCGCTTTTACACATACTAAACGGTTTCACAGCGATTCACAGAGTTAAACAACAAAAAGTAGCAAAAGTTATCGATAATCAATGAATAGGAGAGTTTTGAGAGCCTTATAAAACATTTAATGAAGGAGACAGGAGGACAGATCGTGGCAGGCAATTCCACAGTCGTGTTACAGAGGCCTGGAAAGCATTAATACCAGCTGTACTATTTATTCTGGGCACATGGAGTATGAAGCAGTCTGAACTTGAACGAAGGCAGGGGCTTGCAGAATGGTAAGGAGACAATTTCATATGATAGTCAAGATCTTTAACAACATTGGTTGTCTGATTGACAGCCAATGCAATTGCTTCAGCCATGAAAATGAGATTTGCTGGAATAGTTTATTATACAGACGTATTATTTCTCTCAATTTCAGATTGCGACAGGCCTACCAATCTTGACCCAAACATCATAATTGATCCTGACCAACAAACATACGGGACATACTATAGTTTTGGTACTTCCTGCATAACTGGTTACGATAAGACAGGACCCGACAAGTACTGGTGCTATCCATCCGGTGATGGAAGCCCTGATTACTGGGATCGTGATACTAGTCCTGCGACTCTGTCTTGTTCAGGTAAGCAAACAAAACAGTTTATCAATAAATCATGTTTGTGAGTACTTTAGCGAATATGTACTGTACGCAGGTCTAGTCACAATCGGATAATGAACGATTCTTGTCGAGTTCATTATAAAACTACATGTTGGGAACAATAAATGACAAGCCACATGTCTACTATCACCCAATTATTAGATTAGGATCCACGTCGTCATTTTTTATAATATCATTTGGCCGTTTGTATCCTAAGGAAAAGGCATATTGTAAATTAAGCTTTGTATTAACTCTTTATGCGCCACTTAAAAAACCCCCCTGTGCCACATTCTTTTAGGGTCACACATTTCGAGGGAATCTTTATTGACTCTGCTGAATCAAGAGGCTATAACTCTTCACTGGATGATCATGATGAAAAATATTGTGCAGCAAAGTTGTAGACCGGAAAACGTGCTTTTCGATGAACCGTCATTTGTTATATTTTGAATTATCATTTTTATAATAATCATAATTATATAATGTTTAATTTTTCTTATTTACGGCAGTTTTTTATCCCTCTAGAATTTCTTATTTAGCAATGATAAGACATCTTCAAATCGAATCTATTAGAAAGGTGGACTTCTTACCTTTCTTTACATACCTTGCTCAAGTATTCTAACAATTCAGAAGGTTAGTATTTAGGTTGTTGAAGAAAAGAAGTTCAATAGGGAGAGACTTGAAAGTACCCCGCTCAGCCACCCTTGACAATGGGCTAATCTGCCCATTGAAATCCCTATTACCCCAGGTTATTGTCAATGTCCGGTTTAGCGGGGCATGAAAAGGGACGTCGTGGGGATGTTTTTCTTTGTTGTGCCATGATAAGTCAATAAGAAATAAGAGAATGTTATTGATTTTGCCCACTGGTATGAGCATGTAAAAATGGTATAGGCATAATATATTATATGTGATATACATGACATAATCAGCATCTTATTGAAATGTCTCATTATGAATGTTCACCGCATCTGTTCTCTCACCTTCTTTACCCCTCAATAAAATTGATTTCAAGTACATTTATCACAGCCATAGATATACAAAGAAAGAATGAATCAATCTTAAAATATAAACTATATTGCATTGTTTTCCATTTACTTTATTGTGAGAGAGCTTATTATCAGAAATGATTGACGAGTGGAGTATGCAATGAATAAAATATGGAGAACGGACGTGAGAGACATTATGAGAGAGAAATAGTGATATGAAATGAAAGGACTTTACTGTGAATAAAGATTATAAGAGAAAGAGATAAAGATGACGGCAAGACAGGATACATATTGATACGAAAATAACAATAATAATGAGATAGAGATGACGGAAAGAAAGAGAGTAAACACTGATAGCATAAGAATGAATAAAGATAATAAGAGAAAGATATAGAGATGACGGCAAGACATAGGGTACATATAGATAGGAAAATGATAATAATAATAAGATAGAGATGACGGAAAGAAAGAGAGTAAACACTGATAGCATAAGAATGAATAAAGATAATAAGAGAAAGATATAGAGATGACGGCAAGACATAGGGTACATATAGATAGGAAAATGATAATAATAAAAAGATAGAGATGACGGAAAGAAAGAGAGTAAACACTGATAGCACAAGAATGAATAAAGATAATAAGAGAAATATATAGAGATGACGGCAAGACATAGGATACATATTGATAGGAAAATAATAATAATAATAAGATAGAGATGACGGCAAGAAAGAGAGTAAACACTGATAGCATAAGAATGAATAAAGATAATAAGAGAAAGATATACAGATGACGGCAAGACATAGGGTACATATAGATAGGAAAATGATAATAATAATAAGATAGAGATGACGGCAAGAAAGAGAGTAAACACTGATAGCATAAGAATGAATAAAGATAATAAGAGAAAGATATAGAGATGACGGCAAGACATAGGGTACATAATTATAGATAGGAAAATGATAATAATAATAAGATAGAGATGACGGAAAGAAAGAGAGTAAACACTGATAGCATAAGAATGAATAAAGATAATAAGAGAAAGATATAGAGATGACGGCAAGACATAGGGTACATATAGATAGGAAAATGATAATAATAATGAGATAGAGATGACGGCAAGAAAGAGAGTATTACACTCATAGCATAATAATGAATAAAGATAATAAGAAAAAGATATACAGATGACGGCAAGACATAGGGTACATATAGATAGGAAAATGATAATAATAATAAGATAGAGATGACGGAAAGAAAGAGAGTAAACACTGATAGCATAAGAATGAATAAAGATAATAAAAGAAAGATATAAAGATGACGGCAAGACAGGATACATCTTTCTTTCATTAGTTTTATTCATTCTTATTCTATCACTGTCTACTCTCTTTCTTGCTGTCATCTCTAGCTCTTTCATTAATTTTTATTCATTCTTATTCTATCAGTCTACTCTCTTTCTTGCTGTCATCTCTATCTCTTTCTTTCATTATTTTTATTCATTCTTATTCTATCACTGTCTACTCTCTTTCTTGCTGTCATCTCTATCTCCTTCTTTCATTTTTTTTATTCATTCTTATTCTATCAGTCTACTCTCTTTCTTGCTGTCATCTCTAGCTCTTTCATTAATTTTTATTCATTCTTATTCTATCAGTCTACTCTCAGGGAACACTTTTATCACTAGAGTCTTCGTCACTGCTCGATTCGTCGGAATCAGAGTCCATGCTCCATGCTTCCATAGTAACAAGATCTCGAGCCTCCTCTACACTAAACACACGTTGACGTTTTCCAGCAGGTGCCATCGTAACATCAGTAAACAAATCCAAAGAAAACCGCTAAATACACGGTAATTTCGAATGTAACACTATGAAGAAAAACAGTTTACCGGAAAGTGTGCGATGTATACAATGTAAACAATAGTAAACGCAACGCGTGGCTACACACTGCGAGCGGTATTATGAATGTCTAATTGACTCGTATACATCTGTGCAAAAATGCGAAGTTGGCACGCCTACGTCCGTGCAAATCGGCGAACAAAGCAAACAAAGAGTTAATGATGATTATAGGATAACACCAGCAGCAACAACAACAAGAGCAGCAATGATTACACCAATTCTTATAATGATAATGATGATGAGGATGAAACTATTACTACAAATGCTAATGATGATGATGATAATAAAAATATTGATAATAATAACAATAATACTACTAATATTATTAATAATGATAACATTAATATCATTATTATTTTATTTGTTTTTACTATTAAATTTATTATTATAATATTATTTATATTATTAAAATAATTATTATCATTAAGCGCAAGGAGAACCGTGCCCTAAACCAAATATTACTGACTCTGCGGTGGTGATCACACCAGAAAAAGCCTCCTACGATACGCACGAGACAGTCACTGCTTCCTGCTCAAGCGGAACATTATCAGGAGATGGTGTTGGGGAGTGTCTGCCAGATGGAACGTGGGATTTCACATCAGAGCCATCATGCCTATTAAGTATGTATGAAAAAGGTTTGATTTTCTATCAAAATCAAAAGAGAAAATTGTTCTTTCTCGTATAGACCCACATAATACATACGTGTACGCAGGCGCGTGCGCAGGGGGGTTGGGATTTGGGGTTGATCCCCCTCTAACTGTTTTTAATTGTGCTCTTACCCCCCCCCCCCCCCCCCCCCCGCTTATTCAGCGGCTGGCTGAGTCGTTGCGAAATTTGTGTAGGTGTGCGTCTGTGGGTGTGCGTGTGCGTGTGCGTGTGCGTGTGTTGCGATTGGTACGTGGATATGCGTGCGTCTTAGGGATTTGGGCGTCAAGTCCAAGGACAGTTGCCAAGGTATTTGGTCGTGTTATGTCCGATATATAACAAAGTATGAACATAAATGTGAACATAACTTGACATAAAATGCAATGTTATCTTGATATTTGGACCGCCCTCCTGCCCGAATATCAATTTTCTTGTTTCTCAGAAGATCAAAGAAATGATCTACCCAGTTTTTTAAAGCGAAAATATTAGAAAATTCATGACAATTTCAAAAAGACCTCCTCCCGGTCGTAATTATGAGGTGACGACAGTCCCCCAGAAAATTAAAAAACTAGACATTGTGGTAACTTTTATTTACCTCTTCTAAAATCATTTTTCGCTATTATATACATTCAAAGTAAAGGCCCCAACAATTTGGAACTTTCCTCGTTATTATATCAAACTTTCCCCATCACTTAATTCATTTAATTCATTCTATTGTATCTATATGTATTGACTAGATGTATCTGTGCTTATGTATGTATTTTGAATTAATTGTAGATTGATTAGTATATATTAATTATAGTTATTGAATGTATTATTATCTAAGTACAACTTTGTAAAGCGCTTAGGAACATTGTAATAAGCGCTATATAAATATAATGTATTATTATTATTATTATTATTATTTAAGAGAAAATCAAAACCGTTTCTTTTACAATTAAAAAAAAAATTGTCTTCGCGTAGTCAATTCGTGTTTTACTCTCCCCGTTTCTTATATCCATTTGTTTTCTCCCGTTGCGTTCTCTTGCTTTTCATTGTCTCTGCATCATTCACATCGTGCGCTCTCTCCCTTTCCCTTTTGTTCTCTGTTCTCATGATCAGCCCTATTTATCAATTTGTATTGACCTGTTCCCCTACTCCCATGTTCCTTTGTTTTGTTTTTATGCGTTTGTGTCCTGTCTTTTTATTCTTCGTAAGTCTCTGTTGGCTCATGTTACCCTTATGTCGGAGAAGTATGTTGTTATGAATATCAAATTATGATTTTGTAATTCTGTTATCATACCGCACTTACATATCAATCTTTTTTCCCTTTCTTCTTTTTCTTTCAAATCTACATGTATTTGTTATATAAGTTCATGAAGGATAAAAAGGCATGTTATCTGCAGATGACTTGTAGGTGAATTTGAATGATCAGTTATTTCATGAGAATACCAATTAATTTGTATCTTACCTGTTTATATGCTTGTGTGTATTTATCTATTTTGTTTTTGCTGCTATTATTCGTTTTATTCTCACAAAACAGGGCCTCATGGAAGACTACCAAATTGATGATATGTGCCACCCTATTAGAAATAAATAATAAACAAATAATCGTTATTTTAGGGATCCACATTCTACAAGCCCTGATTCTCAGTAGATCCTTAAATGTCCACAGTTTTTCCAGTATTTCAACAATATTCCAGTGTGAATTTCAAGTGAGGTATCGTAAGGATGATAGCTGCCTATATGATTTAGATAGATGGGTCCCTTGGTGCGTGAATGTATTCGCGTTTACTTTGTTTCTAGCCTTCAATTGGCCTAGAGCTTGAAGAATTTTCAGCTATTAAAAAGATAAGGAAGTCATGAATTTGTGAAGGTGCAGTCAATCAAACAAAAATCTGCAACTCTATGACGTATCTTGCGACATCCCCTCCCATAATATGCCCTGTACTAAAACACTTCAAAAATTTGTATTCTTCCCTAAACAAATTTTCACTCATACATTCACCTTAAATACAATTATTGCAAATATGTTTTTAAACAACCCCTGATGAAACAAATCTATTCTGTCATAAATAACTAAGAAATGAAAGTTTATGAAATTTTCTGTAGAGAGCAACTTGGAAAGGAACTCGCACGATGGATCACAATGTTGTCGAATATTGTTTCACTGATGAAAATATCAAAAATCCATAACTTTCCTATTTCTAATCAGATTTTGCTCAAGCTTTCACTGACTTGTTTGTCTATTTGTTCTGCTTTTATTAAAACCAACTTAATATTAGGGTTGACTTCCTCCTTAAAGGCTAAGTCAACTCCAAAGATAATTTGCTTTCAATAGATGTAGAAAAACTAGAGAAACAGAACCCCAAAAGAGGAAGTTAGGATTGTTTTGAAGACAGTGTGAAAAACTATGGAACTTAGAAAATCACTATACAACTTGCCAATTTGGTTATCAAGTTGTGACGTCATTGCATCACTATTTATCAATTGCTTTATATATATTTATCCCATTAATTTTCCTTTTTATCCCCCAAAACTTGATTGTCCCATGCCTTTGCCCAGGTTATGATTTGCTTCTATTGAAAGTAAGTTATTTTTTGGAGTGGACTTGCCCTTTAATGAACAGAGGGTAATGTTCTGGGGGAGGGGGATGGGGTGGGATGCTTGTTCACGAGGTTAATTGTCCTAGAACCCAAATAAATAATAAAGCCAATTTGTCTTCGCATACATATGTATGATTTCAGCTTGTGCGTGACAACTGTCTGCTAAGTTTAGTAAATTGTTATGCCCTCTTCGCTAAGTTATCGCCAAAAATGATGAATTTACTATGCTTTACGTGATACCGCGTTTGATGCGTACAGTACGTTTTGTGCAGATGACAATCATTTCAAACTGACCGCACTGAAGTGCCCTTCCGAATGATACCAAGTATAGTATATGTTCACTCAGAAAAATTTGAGTAAATCTCATTTGAATAAGGGTCACTATACGAATTCCGCCAAGTTTCCGCCCTATTATAACACGTTTCAGCCATGACGTCATTTTTCAAGACTGTTATTCGGTTGTGTTAGTATGGGCGGCCGTTCGTGCGAAAGCACGCGTCGCAACATGTTCATCATGCACCAACTCATATTGGTTTTGCACGCAGTGCTTGCGAGCCCTTTCTAGATCCCTTCCTCTACCCAAATTCCCTTCAAAATTCGTAGGCGTAGTCTCTAGCATTCCTTCAAGGTCACTAAATTCTTCGTTCTCCGGAAACCCTCATGCGTGACCGTCCAGACACCATTTTTTCCGTTTCGGGCCGTTTTGGTGACCTTTCTTTCGCCCTAACTATCTCCACTATCACAGAAGCTACAGACTTCTTACATATTGCTGTGGATAGTCCGAGAGTAGCTCCTTCGTTTGACACGTAGAAACATGGCGTCATTGCACGCACATCGTTGTGACACGATTGCATTTCTAGTATTTGCAATGACGAACCTTCGTCATTGCCTTGTTTTCGTTCACATTCTGCCCCATTAATATTCTCCTTAGTATATTCCTTATCGTCCGGAAATCACATTCGTTTTGCACGTAGTGCTTGTTATTCCCAGTTAGGTGCCTTCATCATATCCATTTCCTTTCAAATTTCGTAGGCATCATCTCTAGCATCTCATCAAGGTCACCTACTTTTTCGATTTTCGAAATCACTCATGCATGACCGTCCAGGCGCCATTTTGTCCGTTTCTGGTCCATTTTAAGGCCTTTATATCTTCCTTCCTATCTCAAATATCCTAGATCCTACAAACTTCTAACAAATTCCTCTAGATAGTCTGAGAGATGTTCTTTCATCTGCGACGCATGACTTGACCTTCAAAATGCCATCTTCATACTCGAAATTCAAATCTAAAACCGACTCCGTCAAAAATCTCTCAAGTTCTTGAAAAATGGACCCCTAAATAATCTAAAACTGCCATAACTTTCTCATATAAATTCCGTTTTGTATTTAAATCTCACAGTATCTTTATCTCATAATTGCACATGGCCATGCCAAATTTCACGCTCCAATGGCTTTGCACAACATAAATAAAATAAAATAAAACATCTAAAGTTCTGGGAATTGGCTTTCTGTCTGTGGCCGTATCTCCATAATGGCTTGGCAAACCCGTACCCTTTTTTGGATTTAGATACTTGAAGATATGCCCTTTCCAGCCATATACAAAATTATATACCCTATCACTGACCAAATTTGAGAAAATTGCCCTCCAAATTCGCCATTTTCAAGAAAATTGAGAAATAACTTCAACTTGCTCTAAAATGGCGATCGTTATACCTACATCAATGAAACTTTGCAGACATATGTATTCATATACGTGACAACTGTTTACCAAGTTTGGTAAAATTCGAATATGTCAGCGCAAAGTTATCGCCAAAAATGATGAATTTACTATGGATTACGTAATAGCGCGTTCAATGCGCGCAATACATTGCGCGCAGTTAACAATAGTGTCAAACTGACCGCAATGAAGTGCCCTTTCGGATGATACCAAGTATTATATATGTTCACACAGAAAATTGTGAGTAAATCGCATTTGAACAAAGATCACTACACGAATTCCGCCGAGTTTCCGCCCGAACCTAACACGTTTCGGCTATGACGTCATTTTTTCAGACTGCTTTTCGCCCCTTAAACGTCCATTTTTTTCCTTGAAAATTTGCAGTGACATGCCGAGTTCCAATACGCAGGGCACCTTTTGGCCGGATTTTTAAAATTGGTCAAGGGGGCCATTTAAGACGCCATTTTGTCCTATACATCTATTTTACATCACGTGTTTCGATAGGATTAACATAGAAAAAAAGAGAGTGGTTTACAATAACAACCATGAAATTCTCTTTCTAATGATACCAAATACGGCCCATAAAGAGACGTAAAGAGAGAGAGAAAAAACAATTTAACTCCGGCCATAATACAGATCCTGCACGTTTTCCGCCCATTCATTACACGCATTGTCTA